TTTACTCTCAGATCCACTGAAGAGACAGGTCAGATAGACAGCCCTGCCTTGGGTGTGAGGAGGCCCAAGTATGAGTATCAAGTATCAATATGTTGCTCTATTCACCCAACATTTATACTTCCACAGGGCAGTTTCCTGTTTTATAAAAGAGTGATGATCCTCGCAGGCTCACAGTCCTTCAAAATTTTTTTGTTTTTCTTCTTTTCTTTCTTTTTATTTTGAGGCAGGGTCTCCCTAGATTGCCCAGGTTAGGCTCACACTTGTGGTCCCCCACCCAGCCTCCTTAGCCCTGGGATTCCAGACACGCGCCAACAACCTGGTTCTCTTCCCATTTTCAGCTGCAGGAAGTCTGTCCCCACTTGTGTCCTTCCCGCGCTTCTTGGTCCGGCACCGGAGATGCTGCGTTTGGCTTCACTCCTCTTAATTCCCCCCAGCAAGCTGCTCCACCTAGCAATAGGCGGCACCTCCCGAGGTGGAGTGGGGTGCTGGAGGCGGGTGCTGGGGAGACTTTTCTGCCAGCCTCAGCGCGCAGCCCGCCCGCAGGAGCCAGCGCGGCTTCCCGCCAGTCACAGCCCCACCCGGGGAGGCGCAGGGGCCCGGAGCTCCGGTGCAGCAGAGGACCTGACCTTGCTAGCAGAGCACCCTGATCTAAGCAGGTCCCAGAGCTGACCCACCCTCACAACCCTAGTCTAGGTTATAAGAAGTTTCCGAAAATGAGAATTCACCACCCAGAAACCGGAATTTCCTGGGAATGAACATTGTCCTTGCTAGTGTTCCATGAAACACACAAACAAAAAAAAAAGCCCCTGCTCCGGGCAAATGCGGTCCTGCCAGGATGCGGCTGGGGATGCAGAGGGCATCGTGGAAAATGCCCACCCCTGGGACGCAGCCCCGCTGGAGGCTGGGACCTCACGGCCCAGTTCCTGTGGGCTCAAGGCCATCTGTCTTGTACTGGGGTGGGGGTGGGGGGTGCTGGTCAAACCCAGCAGGTGATTCTACTGCTGAGCCAGGTAGGTACTGCTGAGGCTGCAGAGCACAGGTGACCAGAGGCTCGGGCACAGAGGGCCACGGAGGCAGGGGGGTCACCCGCTTCTTCTCTGGGCTCTTCATACATAGCCGGCCAACTTCGGCCCCTTTTTTACCCACATGAAATAAGCAAAAAGAAATCCTAATTTCCAGTAATAACATTGAAAGAAGGGAGGGCAGGGGCACGTGAGGCGTGGAGGGGCCTTATCTGCACCCAGCAGGTTCTGCCCTGCAGCCTCACAGCGCTGAGTCAGCCCTGCCTTGTCTCCACCCTGCCTGGGCGCTAATTTGCCCTGCCAGGCTGGCTGGGGGAGGGGAGGCAGGGCGGCTGGCCTCTGGTCCTCACCCACCGCTAGCTGAATCCGCCAGGAGTGGGTAACGCGTTTATCGAGATTCCCAGTAGAACACATTTTGGAGATTTTCAGTAGAACAAGGAGGTGGGTGGCAGGGAGTTGCTCCAAGCCACAGAGTCCTTCTGGCATTTCTCTGTGGTGTGGAGGGCGGAGGAATCAGATCAGTCAGAGTACACTAAGCAGGTGCGCTGTGTTTACACGGAAGCGCAGGCCAGCCAGCCTGGCTTTGTACTTAGTACCCTGCACATCTTCACCTCTGCTGAATGAATGAAGGAGTGAGTGAATAAATACTAAATAAATGAATTGCTAAATGGATGACTATACATGTTCTTCAACTTTTACCATGTGGGAAAGTTGAAAATATTGTAGACTGAAAATGCGTTTAATACCCGAAACATAACAGCTTAGTTACACTGGGGTACCGCACATTGATAGCCTGGGAAACTCTCTAAAAAATTCAATATCCTAGGAGGCTGAGACAGGAAAGTTGAGAGTTCAAGCCTGGTCTGAGCAATTTAGTGAGACTGTCTCCAAAGAAAAAACAAAAAAAAAGGGTCAAGGATGTTGCTCAGTGGCTCCAGGTGCAATTGTTGTAAACAAAACAAAACACCCAGATTCCTTGGATTACTCTTGGATAGTCTTATTTTGTTTGTTTTTTCTGTGCTGTAGGTTGAACTCAGGGCCTTCAAAATGACCCAATCTCTCTCTCTCTCTCTCTCTCTCTCTCTCTCTTTTTGTACCAGGGATCAAACTCACGGCCTTGTGCTTGCCAGACAGGTGCATATGCCACTGAGCTAAATCCCTGGCCCTCACTTAATATTTTGAAACAGTCTCACTCAGCAAATTATCCAGACTGGCCTTGAAACTTGTGACCTTCCTACCTCCGCTTTCCAGAATTACAGGCACACTACTGCATCGTGCCCAGAATTTTGTAAGTTTTCTGTGATAAGTAAAAACAAAACAAAACAAAAACTATTATTAGAAATTCAGTTTAATTGTCAGAAAAAATACAGAAAAACTTTTGAAGCTGCTTCCAGGTTTATAGACCGAGATGTTCCAGGCCTGCACAGCCCCTGCTCACTGTGGCCTTGAAGTATGCAGCTTCGTCAGCCCTGTGTTCTGGTCCTCCAGCTGCCACTAACAGGATGAAGACCTGGGGCAAGTTCTTTTATTTCTCTGGACTACGGGGTCCTTATTTATAGAATAAGTGTCCGAATTGGATGATCTTTTAGGGCTGGAATGTGATTCTCTGATTCACTCACTAAGTTATTGTGAATAAGCTCCATGTGAATAAGCTCCCTTTGCCACTGTCTATCTGGAAGGATTCTTCTCTAACGCTGTAAGAATGATTTTCTAATGGTGGAATTTGATACCACAGCGTGACTCACCATCACCCAAACACTGATGTAATAGCTTTCTGTACACAACTAACAACAGAGACAGAGCAAAAGAGTCTACAGAGTCAAGGACCCTTCCTAGCAGCAGCAGCCTGGAGAGGGAAAGGGCAGTGTCGGCGACAAGTTCCTGGGTCTGGAGCTTCCTCTCCTTCCCTGCCCTCCCTTAAGTCTCAGCTGCTCACTGCTGTCTGCTTTCTTCTTTCTCCCTGTGGTTGATCTGTGCTCTGTCAGCATATCTCCTTTGTGGGTTCTGGCCCGCCAGGGGAAGGAAGGAGTGATTCCCTTCAATGAGTCACACAAGATGGACTGGGCCTGGGGCTTTCCCCTGGTGGATTCAAGCTCCAGTGTGCATAGGCCCAAACCTCCTTGCGGAAGGAATACCAGAGCAGAGGGCCACACCCTGTTCTTCTCCTATTTCTGGGAACTCCTTCCAGAATCCCTCTGGCCAGACAGAGGCCCCTTGCTAAACCTCAGAAGGCAGAGGAGGGTTACAGAGCCAAAGGCCATTAGAACCATCCAGGGTTTGAGCTTGCTCCACAACTGGGACAACTCCTAGAGCAGCCAGCTCCTCTGGGATGCCTCTAAATTGCGTGGTCTTGGGCAAGTTCCTGGACTGCTTGGGTTTCAGTTTCCCTGGCTGGAAAATTGAGATAAACTCACCTCAGGGGATTGCTGTGCATTAGATAAATAAAACCTAAGTCCATGACTGGAGCCAAGACGGAAATCCCACTGCTTTTGGACTTGCTGAGAGGTCCAAGAGCCAGAAGGCCACTGTCCTGGTCACAGAGTACCCTGGACCCCCCAGTAGGTTGCATAAGGTTGGGGTTGGAGTAAAGGGCAGAGATCAGTTTAGGGATACCTGGGTACTCTGGGAGTCAGCTGGGGGCTGGTTTTGAAAGGCCTGGTGTTCACAACCTGCAGTCTTCTTTACTTTTAGGCAGCTATGGGTGTTTCCCTGTCTGGGGAGGAGCCTGACCTTGATGGGGGCTTCACATTGGGGTGTAAACAAGAAACAGAGGTGACTGATCCTAAACTATATCACTGATATTTTGTTTGTTTGTTTGTTTCAGGTGCCAGTATGGCTTGGTAGGATGAGGCTTTTGATCCTGTCTTGATAGTTTTTATTCATTGTGGATTTTTTTTTTTTTGGCATTCATTTTGACTTTTAAAAAATATTACATTAAGCAAGGTATGGCACAGGCCTGTAATCCCAGCATGCTCAAGGCTGAGGCAGGAGGACTTCAAATTCAAGCCCAGCACAAGTAATTTAGAATTTTAGACTGTTGCAAAATATAGAATAAAAAAGGGCTGGGCTGTAGCTCAGTTGGAAAACCCTAGATTCCTTCCCAACCACAGCAAAAGGCATTAAAACATTTGTGGGAGGAGCAACCCAGTACCAAAAAAAAAAAAAAAAAGACCGAAGACTGCTAATTAAACAAATTGTTTTGGCTGGAAAGGTTAGCCAGTCTGGAGGCAATTGACAAGGAAAAGTTCTAGCTTGTGGTACAAGTACCAAACAAATGACCAGTTGCATTACAATATTTGAGTCAAAATGCATGGAATGCCAAATTCCAGGGATTTCAAAACAGTCAGCTGAGGTATGCCATAGATTATTGAGTTCCTTGGCACCTCCTTAACTTTTGGTCCTAAAGCAGGAATCTGCCTCTGGCAGAAAGCGGGAGGTGTATTTTTGGGAAGAGCGCTCCGCAGGCGATTGGAAGTGATTTAATCTAGCGACTTTCCTAATCACTGAGAAAGGACGCCAACCAGAGGCAGGGAGGAACAGTGTTCCCAGCCCAGTTACATCCTGTGCACTCTCCCACTTCTTTTTTCTCTCAAATTTTAATTTTTTTTAGTTCAAGTTTGCAATACATTGCATTCACTGTGGGGGAGTGGGTATCCACACATCATCTTAATTCTTTTCACGTCCCCTTCTGCCCTCCCTCCTCTTCCATCTCCTTTTCCATGGAGCTCAGGCGTGTCTCCGGACCCGTAAAAGTCTTTCAGTGACGTTTAATTAATTCGATGAGCATTCGAATGTCCAGAGCTGCAGGTCAGGTGCCAGACAATAACTGGGTGAAGTCTGCGGGTGGGGGGACTGGACAGCGTCTGCGCCTGGATCCCGCAGATGGGACGGGGCGGGGCATAGCCGGCAGGTGCCTCCCGCAGGTGGGGGCGTGGCTGCGGAGGGGCGTGGCCGCTGAGGGGCGTGGCTTGTGGACTCCTAGGGCGCCCTGGAGCCTGTTCTGGCGGGAGCTTCTTCGTTGAGTTGGACCGGGCCGGACTTCCTGCCCCGGAGGCCCTGCAGTCTCAGGTCTGGCCCAGCTCCAGGGAGGCGTCGCCTCGCGGAGTCGCAGCCGTTTCCTGGGCGCGGTGGGCCCGGAAAGCTCAGGCTGAGGACGCGGGAGAGCGCGGGGACATCGCACCCTGGGCGGACGCGCGCGACATGGAGGACGGCGTGCTCAAGGAGGGCTTCCTCGTCAAGAGGGTGAGCGCGGGGCTCCGGCTGGGCTGGGGCGGACGCGCGCCCGGGACGCGCTCCCCGGTCCCCTGCGCCCGCCTCAGCACCACGTGCCGGGGAACGCGGGGGCGCGGGGGGCTGGCGTGGGACGAAGCAGGGGAAACATCGAGGGAAAAGGGACCCGGCCCCGGCGGGGATGAGGGTGGTCTGGGCCAGTGCAGTGCGGCGTCGGGTGGCGGCACGGGTGTGGATGTGGACATCTCAGAGCAGCTTGACCTCTGCTCGCCGGGTCCTGCGTTCAATCCCCAGGATCACAGGAAAATGAAAACAAAGCCTTAATATGTGAATAAGGGGTGGGAGGTTTGGTGAGAGGTTGGTTAACGGTGCATTTGGAAAGAAAAAATAATATCTAGCTACTGAGCGCAGAAGTAAAGTTAATAATTAAGGGTGTGTATGTCTAAAAATGTGAGAAAAAATAAGGTAAGAAAAATTTTTTAAATTTATGAATTTTGAAAACTACAGGGTTTCTCTATGCAGTTCAGGCTGGCCTTGAGCTCACTTTGTAGCCTAGGCTGCCTACAAGTTTCAACCATCTTGAGCAGTTTCTTAAGGTGAGAGAATTTAGAGTGTTCTCAAAGTAATGATAAATGACCAGCGTGGCGGGCATACCTCTAATCCTAGCTACTCAGAAGGCTGAAGCAGGAAGATAGCAAATTCAAGGCCAGCTGGGCAATTTAGTAAGACTTTGCTTAAACGGTAAGAAGGTCTGGGGATGTAGCTCAGTGTGAGGACTGGCTACAATCCCCAGTACCGTGGGGGAGAAAGTGAGATGACTGATACACTAGTTACTCAGATCTGATCTTTGCACATGTATGGAGCCTAACATTGTACTCCATACACATATGTTAATTTAATATTTTATATTATATACGTATATATGTAGAGAGAGAGTGAGAAACGTTTAAGTATATTGTTTTTAACACTTTTCAGGCTGCTGGGAATTGAACACTCACAGCAGATGCTCTGTGCAGAACTCCCCTAGCCAAATATAATTTATTGATTCAACAGGATATGTTCTGGGAGGAAGAAGGAATTCTGTGCTTCCTTAGCGTTTAGAGCTTGCTGGCATTTCTGCAGGTCAGCGGTACATTACCCTCCTTTCTCTGAGGTGGGAACAAAGATCAGCTAGGTTAAGTAACTTGCTTTGGGTTATGGCTGTGACAGGTGGAGTTGGGGTCAAATCTCAGGTTAACCCCAAACCTTTTCCTGCCTGTTAAGCATCAGGCATGATGGATATTGTTACAGAGGAGGAAACTGAGGGTCAGGAGGATGAAACAGCTTGCCTAGTGCTAGTAATAACTGGGATATGAACCCTGATCATGTAGTCATACCTTTCCCATCATTCCATGTGGCGGGGAATAAACAAGAGCTCAATCCAAAACAGGAAGTCAGGATCCGAGTAAAAAGTGAATGAAAGAGCGGCAGCAAGAGGAACTATGATACCTACTTTATAATTATTTTTAGGGCTGAGTGTGTAACTCACAGGTAGGGTGCTTGCCTAGGATGTGAGAGACCCTGATTTTTTTTTTTTTTTGTACCGGGGATCGAACTCATGCCAGGCAGGCACTTATGTCACTGAGCTAAATCCCCCCCGCGGGAGAGACCCTGATTTTAATCACCAGCACAGAAAAAAGAACTGTTAACTAAGTAGTTATGCTAACATAGTATCTTTTAAGTGTTGAAGTGTGTGACTGTCTGGATGGAGGAGCTCTCAGCCCTTCACTGCGCCTCTGGTGGTCAGCCCAGCCCTGCCAGCCCTGATGCTCCTATCACTTTCCCATGCTACCCCACCGTGTCCCCGTTAGTTTGCACAGTTGATCCAGAAGGCAGGGTGTGCTGTTTGCTCAAATCTGTAAGCAAGGAAGGAGGGAGGCTGAAGCCAGATCAAGAGTCAGACTGGGTATGAGCAGTTCAGAATTCCTCACCCACTTCACGTCTCTTTGGCCGAAGTGAAAGGCTGGTCAGTCCCTTAGGGTCTGTGGAGCTTGCTATGTCGTGTGGGGAACTTCTGCTGCCTCCCTGGACTGCAGTTGTGAGGTGATGCTGTGAGCTGGGGGTGGGCTGCAGGCCCAGTTAGGGAATCCAGGTACAGAGAAGTGAGGAGAAACTGGGGGTGGTGTTCTGGGAGACTAAGGTGGGAAGATTACAAATTCAAGCCCTTCCTGGGCAATTTAGCAATGTACAGAGCTTCAGAAACAAAGGGCTGGGGTTGAGACTTCCATGTGGAAGCCCTGAGTTCAATCCCCAATACTGAGGAATATTTTAAAAATTAAAAAGAGAAGTGAGGAGATCTGGCTTCCAGCCCCCAGCAAGTTCAGGGCTTGGCTGAAACCTCATTCTAGCCAAAGCCAAAAACTAGGATTTGGAGTGTGACCCTTATGTAAGTGGAGCCCCACACACACCTGGTGAGGGCTTGGCCCCTTTCCTTTGCTCCCTACCCAGTATCCCCTTTCCTCATAGGTGGTAACAGCAGCCCCTGTTCCCAGCGCCAGTTACAGGGCTGCAGCCCTGGGGTCCAAAGAGTCAGAAGGTGGCTGCACCAGTGTTAGGCAGGGCCAGACTGGCAGAGGCGTACACAACAGTCATCAGCCGGGAGACCAAGCCAGAGGCTTCTGGAGCCAGGCAGGCAGGGGCATGATGGGTCTGGTTCCCACCCCCGCCCAGACAAAAAGAAGCAAAGCTCTGGCAAGATGCAGGGAGCCTGCCAGGCCTGGGCTCAGAAGAGTGCGAGGCAGGGGACCGGAGCAGCCAGCAGGGACTGTGAGAAGCTCCTTTCCTGGCCACCACCGCAGCAGGAACATGCTTTGGCCTCTGTGGAATCTCACTTGAAGAACTCTGCCCCAACACTGTAAAAGCTTTCTGAACAAAGTGTTTTTTATGAATGAAAACTCCTCAGAAACTACCTGTATGTAAGCACACAACTAATTGAATTATAGTTATGCAGATATTACAAGTGTTTATAGCATTAAAATCCAATGAGTAGTCAGGCATGGTAGTGCATGCCTATAATGTCACAGTTGGGAGGCTGAGGCAAGAAGATTGCCATGAGTTCAAGGCCAGCCTGGGCTACAGAATGAGACCATGTCTCAACAAACAAACAACATCCAAAGGGTAGAAAGATACAAAGTATGAGTAGAGAAAAAAATAGAAGGAAAAAAAAAAAAAAGCTCAGAAGGAGGAGTTCTTCCAGGGGTTGGGAGTCCAACATCTAGATGATGGCAGGCCCTGCTCCCTCCCATACCTGCCCTGACAACCCTGCCTGCCTGCTCTAGCTGCACAGCTTGGAGATGCTCATCACAGACCATGTGGTCCCTATTTATCACTCAGTGTCCAGACTGTCGTCTTTTTGCAGGGCACCAGTCATAATGGGGTCACATTGACCCTAGTCTAATGTTACTTCATTTTAATTTGATTACAGCCACAAAGACTATACAAAGACTATTTTTTCTTTGTGTGTGTGTGTGTCTGTGTGTGTGTGTGTGTGTGTGTGTTTGGTATCTGGAATTGAACTCAGGACCTCACACTTGTCAGGCAGGTACTGTACCATTGAGCTATACCCTGACCTATTTCCTTATGAGGTCACATTCACAGGTACATGAGGTTCAGACTTAAACTTTTGGGGAGACACAATTCAACCCGTAATAAGTACCATTTCTAATTTTTGGCGGTTGTAGGGCATTGGGCAAGATCTTTCCAACCCCTAATTTCTTCTTGTTAGAGAGCAGAATAGGCCTTATCTAGGGCCTTCTCCAGCTGTGACATTCTGTGCCTCTTAAGCTCAGCCCTGAGTTGTGACCCCAGCTTATGGGATTCCCTCCTTTTTCCTAAAAGGGCTTCTGGGACAGCAAGCCACTCTGACTGCTTCAATCAGCCTCTGGCCCCAGACAGAGTACCCAAAATACCCACGTAGAGGGAGAGCTGGGTTCTCTTCCAGCTTATACCGGTTCTTTGGCCCCTGACCACTTTGCCTAGTGATCTGGGACCAGGCACAACCCATGAGGACTGTGTGGTTTTGCTGCAGAGCAGGGATGCTGGCCAGCTTTGTGGGTTTCCCCTGCATTCTCCTATTTCATGTAGTCCTGCCACACTGTGGTCAGAGGTCTCTTTTTAACATAAGAACCCAAATTGTTACACTTCTTATTAATTCATCAGGACTTCCCTCTGGCTGCAGTATAAAGATCAAACTGCAACATGGAACTGACTCCACATCTGTAAGATGTGGTCCTGGTCGCTTCCTCTATCTGTTCCCTATGAGCCTCGGTGCCCAAGTGGCAGCATTGCTTTTTGTAGTTTTGGGCCTTGTAGGTGCTAGGCAAGCACTATCCCATGAGCTCCAGTGCCAGTCCTGGCAGTGGCTTTGTGTCCATCCTTGCCAGCCTTCCTGATCTGTATCAGCTCCTCCAGGGAAGGTGCCTGATGCAGCCCACAGCTCCTGAGGATCAGGCGTCCAGGAAGCCTAGCTGTGAGACTCCAGCTCAGGGTCTTTCATGTGGTTGCAACTGAAAGGTTCAGATGTGGCAGTCACCTAAAGGCTGCTTGAGCTGGTGGATCTGTTCACCACATGTGGCTGTTGCCTGAGGCCTCAGTCCCTCACCTGTCTGTAAGGCTGCTGTGAAAGGGCAACCTCCTTTCCCCGGGATGAATGGGTGGGAGTGGGGGTGGGGATAGAGGGGTTCGGGTTGGCCTTGAACTTACTGTGTAACCCAGGCTGACCTTGAATTCATGGTGACTCTCCTACCTCAGCCTCCCGAGTACTACGATTACAGGCGTACTCTACCATGCTAAGCTTTCAGTTAGGATTCTCAGTTGTTCTTAACACATTCTACTCTAGTTAGTTTGAACAGGAGGAAGGTAGTAAATAATTCAGGAATATTTGGAACTATTCTAGAGAATCAGGTTGGAATTCTATATCCAAGACCTTCCTGAATTGCTAAATTGTGCAGTTTGAACTTAAATTTTGATCTACCTATCTCAGTTTCCTGAGTAGTTGTGTTCATATTTGTGTTATTTATTTCTACTGAAAGATGTCCTATCTCCTGTGTTTGAGGTTTAAGATTATTTTGCCTTCTCTTTTCTGCCTCATGTCGACAATCATACCATCAACTTCAACTGCATCCCGTGTGCTGGTAACTTACTGCCGTGAATTCTTCAGGGGCCAGACACCTCAGGCTGACCTGCAAGTGCTGCCCGCAGGCCCCTAGTTAGAGCTCGGAGGGAATGGGGAGCTAGGACTGGGCCAGGTGGCTGTAGAGAGCCCCAGTGCAAAGTCATCCACCCTTAGGCTACACAAATGGACTGTGAGTCAGGGAGAAAGCAAAGAGAGATGAGCTTCCAGTGAGTTTCATTTGGTTGCCACAGTACCTTCTGTTTGAGCTGAAGTCCAGGCCTCCAAGGCACAGTCATATACCTGAATAACTGGTACGGATGATTCGTCCTTACCTTCCGGCTCCCAGTAGTACCTGTTGAACATGGAGTAGGGTCACGGCACCACAGATAAAAGAACACAGGAGGCCTTTGATGTGAACATCTGCTCGGTAAGGGAGTGAGTGAATGAAGTAGCAGCTCTTTGACTCAGGTGGAGTACATCTGTCTGGGTGAGAACTTTGTCTCAAATTGCTCTCTGCTTGAAACCGTGCCAAGCAGAGTCTGTGTATGGTACAGTCTTTCTTTTCTGAGCCCTCTGTGGATGTCCCTCATGCTTTAGTCTGTTCTAGAAACTAAATCTTTTTCTGTTGGCTCCATGACCCACCTGTGCACTTCCAAAACTACCCTGCTTTTGTGCCTGCCACAGCTGGCCGGGTGACTGGTAGGCTCTTAGCACTGCAGACTCGGGGAGGCTTTCACAAGTATCCACGTAGTGGTTATTGTAGAATCTGCTTTAAAGAAATTTAAATGGTTTGCGAAAATGCTCAGTAAGGATAAACAAAAGAAGTAAAAAATAAAACTGTATATGAAATGGTCCCAGTTTTAAAAAAATGTAAAAACTGAAGCAAAAAAGACTAGAAAAACACACTAGGTATTAACAATAACTGCCTCCTAGCACTGTAACAGGATTACAAGTGAGGATTTTTTGTGGTTTTGTTTTGGTACCAGGGATGGAACTCATGACTTTGCATTTGCCAGGTAAGTGCTTATGCTGCTAAGCTACATCCTTGACCTGTTTTTTTTTTTTTTTTTGGTGGTACTGGGGATTGAACACTGGTCCTTTTCTTTCTTTCTTTTCTTCTTTTTTTTAAAAAAATATTTGTCTTTTTTTTTTTTTGAGATGGCGTCTCGCTATGTAGTTCAGGCTGGCCTTGAGCTCACTTTGTAGCCCAGGCTGGTCTCGAACTCACAAAGATCCTCCCACCTCAGCCTCCCGAGTGCTGGGATTAAGGCGTGAGCCACCATGCCTAGCTTAGTTTTTTTTTATTTATCACAGGTCCTTTTCACTGAGCTACAGCTCCAGACTTTTTTTATTTTTTTGTTTTGAGGCAGCTTATGCTAAGTTACCAAAGCTGGGCTGGAATTTGCAATACTCCTGCTTCAGCTTCCCAGATTGCTTGGGGTGTCTGCCATGCTGTTTTTTTGTGGGGCAGGGGAGGGGAACTACTGGGGGTCGAATTCACAACCTTGTGCTTGCTAGGCAGGCACTTGTGCTGCCGAGCTATAGTCCCAGACCCCCACCCTTTTTAAAAAAACATTTATGACCAGTGACTGGGGTGAGTGGGCTCACTGGGGTGAGCCCAGTGGGAGAGTGCTTGCCTAGTATGTGCAAGGTCCTGAGTTTGATTACCCAGCCCCACCACCACACCCAAAAAAAAGAAAAATTAGAGATAAAGAAAAAATATAACCTAAAAAAAATGTCAGTGGGAACTAAAAGATCAGTGCTAAAGGCTTTTGCTTTGCGTACTCAAAAGAGAGGACCAAGCAAGATCCAGACAAAATAATGCTCTTCTCCCTCATTGGACAGTTGTTTCCATGGTACAGTTTGGTTGCCTGGGCAACAGATGTGTTTATCTGAACACAGTATCCTCCCCTTCACCACCTTACCTCAGGGCTTTCCTGTCTGTCCACAGGGCCACATTGTCCACAATTGGAAGGCACGATGGTTCATCCTTCGGCAGAACACACTGCTGTACTATAAGCTTGAGGGGGGTCGGAAAGTGACCCCACCCAAAGGCCAGATCCTCCTGGATGGCTGCACCATCACCTGCCCCTGCCTGGAGTATGAGAACCGACCAGTAAGTAAAGGCCCTTACTGCCCAACTCCTGGCCTCAGATGCATCTCACCCAGGGCCTCCTTGGAGAAGGTGGTGTGGGTAGTGGAGAGAACTCAGAGCTGTAACTAAAAAACTCTTGTTTTTTTACAAAAAAATTTTTTTTTGTACCAGGGATTGAACCAAGGTCTTGTACTTGCCAGGCAAGCACTTGTGCTGCTGAACTAAATCTCAGTCGCAAGTCTTGTGAATTTAAGTTCTGGCTTCACCATGTACTAGATGTGTGACTTTGGGCAAGTGGATAAACCCCTCTGAGCCTTCTTTCACTGTCTGTAAGGTGATATTTATGTGGGATTCAGGACCAGACCAAATGGAGACATGGCACAAGGGGAACTTTGGAAGGCAGCTTAATTATGCTAGTGGGCAGATGGGAATTCAGTTCCAAATCATCAGCCCCAACTTTTCCGGTCATTTATATATGTTTCCAAAAGGAAGTACAAAAAAAAGGTAGATAACCTAATATCCTATGGTTAGTTGCATATGTCTTTGTCATTAATTGCTAGGTAGAATTCACTCTTACAGAGATAGCAACTATAAGGTTACTATCGTACAGTGTAGAGGAAGAATCCATCATTGTCTTGAGACTAGACAGAGATGTCCTTGCAGTGGTAACTCGCTGGGACTTGGAAGTAAGAGAAATATTTTTTCCTGGCTGAGCTACACTTATCTTGCAGTTGGCACTAGGAGTGTCAAGGCTCATTAAGTTTGTAGCTTTCTACCATGGGAACAGGCTGTGTCTCCTGGTCTCATCCTTGAACAGTGTCAGAAATACACTTAGTATTAGAAATACAAGTTTTAAAATTTTCTCTGTATTAAATTGCTCCTATAATATAAAATAATTACACCTGAGTACCTCACACGATTGTGACAGGGTTTGTGAAGGTGATGGGCTGTTAAAGCATGGCAGCTGGCATAATGTGGCACTGCACAGATGTGAGCAGTTACTGCTGTGTTGGGGTTCAGTGTGATGCTTTCGTTTCCTGAGAGGTACATGTTTTAGAAGTAAAGGGTACAGGATAAAAATCAATACACAAAATCCATAGGATTCCTGTACAACAGTCAACCCCGAGACAGAAATTAGAAAAGGGCTGGGGATTTAGCTCAGTGGCATAAGTGCCTGCCTTGCAGACGTACAGTCGTGAGTTTGATCCCTGGTACCAATTAAAAAAAAAAAAGAGAAATTAGAAGAGCAGTTCATTCACAATAGCCGGGGGAAAAAAGTCTATCTATCTATCTGTCTATCTATCTATCTATCTATCTAGGATTAATGTAGTCAAGGAAGTAAAAGACCAGTATCATGAAAACTATAATACTCTGAAAAAAGAGACTGACAAGGACATTAGAAAATGGAAAAATGGGGCTGGGCATGGTGGTGCAAACCTGTGATCCAGCACTCTTTCCCCAGGCTTTAGGCAGAGGATTGCCATGAGTTCAAAGCCAGCCTGCATTACTTAGCGACACCTTGCCTCAAAAACAACAAAAACTAAAACAAACAAAAAAACCCAAGAAAGATGGGATTGTTCCTGAAGGCAGAATAGTCAACTGCCCAAATGAGCAAAAACAATATGCAGATTTAATGTAGTCTCAATCAAAATTGCAGCAGTATTCTTCACTGAACTGGAAAGAAAAACTCTAACCCTAATGTGGCGCCTGCTGTGCGGCACACATGTCTAATCAAGCACTAAGGAGGCTGAGACAGGAGGATTGCTGTGAGTTTGACATCAGTCAGGGCTGACTAGTGAGTTCAAGGTCAGCCTGAAATACATAATGAGATAGTGAGACCTTGTATCAGAAAAGACAAAAACAAAAACCAGAAAACACCCAAACAATTCATATGGAACTAGAAGAGACCCCAAGGTAAAAGCAATCTTGGGTTAAAAAACTAAAGTGGAGGGGCTGGAGATTTAGCTCAGTGGCATAAGCGCTTGCTTTGCAAGCAGGCAGTCGTGAGTTCGATCCCCGGTACTGATAAAAAGGAAAAAGACAAAAAAAAAAAAAAAAAAAAAACCAACTAAAGTGGAAGGCATCACAATCCTGGACTTGAAGTTATATTACAAAGCTCCAGTGATAAAAACAGTGCAGTACTGACAAAAATAAATGTAAGGGTGAATGGAACCGAATAGAAGATGTAGGAACAACGCTGTGTAAATTCAGCTATCTTTACAGGGGCCAAAAACATACATTGCAGGAAAGATACCCTTTTTAATAAGTGATGGAGAAAACTGATTATCCAGTTTCAAGTTAGACCCATATCTTTCACCGTATAGTAAATTTGGATCAAATAATTAAAGTAAAAACTAAGCAGTGAAACTGCTGGAAGCCAAAATAGGTGAAACTCTGGAAATCATAGCTGAAGACAAGGACTTTCTGAACAGATTCTTGATCACATAGGAAATAGTACTGAGAACCAACAAGTAGGATCAAGTCAAATTAAAAAGCTTCTGCATAGTGGTTTATTCCTGGGAATGTAAACTAGTACAACTAGAGAGAAAAATCAGTGTGGAGATTTTTTTTTTTTTTTTTTTTTAAATCTGAAACTAGAAATTCTGTTTGACCCAGGTATCTCCTAAAAGAGTTAAAGATATTATATTACAGTGATACATGCATGCCCATATTTATAGCAGCATGATTCCTAATAGCTTAATTTTGTGATTTTTTTTTTTGTACTGGGGATTAAACACAACCTCACTTGTCAGGTAGGTGCTTATGCCACTGAACTGAACAGATAAAGAAAAAAAGAAAGATAAATGTGAGTCATTTATAGGAAAATAAATGCACCTTGAGACCATAAAGTTAAGCAAACTAAATTGGACAGCAAGTTTAAATATCACATGATTTCTTTTATATGAGAAATCCAAATTATAAATAAACAGCAAATTAAAGACAGGTAATAAGAAGCAGAGAGATCCCTCAAATGGGAAAGGGATCAAGAGGTGGAGGGAGGGGAAGAGGATGGGAAAGGGAGTTAGGATATGCTGCTGAAATAGTTAATTCTGTACAAGCCAAGCTTGTGGTCTCAACATAGAGGAATGAAGTCATGAACCAAAAAGAGGATGTTGGTAGAGTTTTTATAAGGAGAAGATAAGGAGAAGAAATAAGGAGAAGAAAAAAATGTCTCTTGTTTCTCCAGGAAAGGAATCTAAAAAGAGGAATTTCTGCCAGGTCCTTCCATTTCTTATGGATTAGGGGACTTCAAAAATGGCTCAGAATCACCTATCACAGAGGTGGCTCTGTGAATTTAAAATGACCAATCAGAGCACAGGCACTGTAACCCAGATACTCAGTGTGTAGAGATTAAAGGAAATGGATTTGAAAGAAAAACTGGTTATTTTGCACTTTAAGTTTTTAGAAACTTGGGAATTTAATAGGGAGGGGCGCCATCTTCCTTTGGTGGGGAGGGAGCTACATTCCCTGTTGCCTGGCAACTTCTTACTTAATTCATATCTGTGTGGCTAATCACCACCTCTATCTCTGGCCCTTCCCCTAGCTAGCTGTTTGCTCCTAAAATGAGCTAAAGAAACTGTTTTTTATATTACGTACATGTACCAACACCACACGAGGAATATAAAGGTAGCGCATTGCAAATGTGCAAACAAAAATGGGAGAGAGATGGAGGAGGGACTGAGGGAAGGGAAGGCAAATAATGCGGAGTAAAGCTGAGAACACAAATCAGAGAAGCGTCCCAGGGCCGGTGGTTGACGTGACGTTCAAGGCAGGGCAGGGCATCAGTGTGCTTGCAGGCTGACTGGCTGTTTTGGCCTGCGGGGCAAGAGAAAAGGAGGATGGCGGGAGCAAGAACTGCTCAGCCCTCGGGCCTGTTCTGTTGGCCGGCAGCGCCTGTCCTGGGTGTTCTACTGTAGGGAGAGTCACATGGAAGTGGTCACTGCTTTCCATGAGCTTGAGGGTAAAGAAACAAAATTCTCTCCTGTCCCTAGAAGACTATGTAAGTGCCGGATGGTGTACCGTACCTGTAATCCAGTACTTGGCAGGCTGAGGCAGGAGGGTCACAGCAAAGTCAAGGCCAGCCTGACTACACAGCAAGACCCCATCTCAAAAACCAAACCAAAACCAAAACAAACAAACAAACAAAAACCCCAACTGTAAGTATTGCCCTCTATAACTTAGTATTTTTCTCACAACCAAGACTTTTTTCTGGAGTGACATTATATTTGAGGACACAAGAATAAGCAAAGGCAGGCCTATAATACCAGCATTCTGGGAGACTGAGGCGGGAAGACTGCAAGTGAAGTCCAGCCTGGGCAATTTAGCAAGCCCCTGTCTAAATAATTAAGGACAGGGGTTAGGGATGTAGCTTAGTGAGATCTCATCTCAAGTAGACACAGAAGAATTAGAGAATTAATTTAGTTGGAATTGGAAAGGAATTCTAGTCTCCAACAGCCATCAGTTTTTCATATCAGCTTTAAATACAGAGTGAGGCAGAGTTGGTCAAGTTTTAGAGATTTGCAGTTGACTGACTTACACATTTCTATATAACAAGCTTGGGTATTTATCAGAGTGGGAAGGGAAGAAAGCTTGCAAACGTTTTCAGAACGAATCTACAAGTTAACTGTTATAAAGTTTATTTAATAAAATTGTGTATGTTTAAAAAAATGTCACTCCATTTTAGGAGGCTGCCCAGATGAATTGTCAGGTTTTTTTTGTTTTTCATGGTTTGGTTTTTTGAGACAGCGTCTTGCTATGTACTTTAGGCTGGCTTGGAACTTGTTATGTAGTACAGGCTGGCTGGCCTCAAACTTGAGGCCATCCTCCTGCCTCGGGCTTCTGAGGACTGGGGTCACAGGTGTGCCCCACCATGCCTGGATGCAGTGTCAGTTGTTTCTCTTACACAGCAGAAGGTGCTGCTCACTGAACATGAGAAGCCCAGCGGCACTGGGGAGGAGGCAGCCCCGCTAGAGCACTGAGCCTTGGAAAGGGCTGGCTCTGTATCCTTTTCCTCTTAGCATTGGAAGACTGATCATGATATCTAGGCATGTAGTAGGGCTCAGTAAATGTTCTCTGAAGAAACATTAAACAATGAAGACTGGTAAATAAGTGAGATGATTTTAAGAGGAAAACTTGTTTCTTAAGTGAATTTAAGACGCTGGGTCTAGGTAAATGAAATCACCCCACTCACAGATGAATTGCTGGCCTCTTGTCCCTGAATAATCTTTAGGGAGCAGCGGTGAGCTGATGGGCTGGGATGGGAACTGTTCTAAATTTGAAAATAGAAAGGGAAACAGGCAAAGTTTGTTGGATTTTGTGTTAAGTCTATATAAAGTTCTCAGATTTTTATTGGCCCAGGATTTATTTTAGTGAATTGGCAGCACTGATGATTAGTTAATTGCTTGCATGTGCTGAACAAGGGCTGGGCTCTGCCTGGGTCTTAAGGACTTGGGCTCAGAGAGACAAAAAGGAGCCACTGGGCTCTGAACAAGTCAGAAAGTGTATGAGTGTTGGTGTGTTTATATGCGTGTACCTGTGTATATATGTGCAAAGACTGTGCCCGGACTTCACTTGGGATTCTCCAGCTGAAGTGTGAATTTAACCTTCAGGATCACCTTCCTGGTGTCCCTTGGGGTGGTAAGCCAGCCAGGTCAAGCTAGGCAGTGTTGCTGTTTAGACAGGGTAGTGATTGAGGGTAGTGATTGAGTTGCAAGTGAATCAAGTCAGGAAACGAAATGAATTAGCCTGCATGAGGCCCTGGGTTTGAGTCCTAGCACTGGGGGCAAATCAGAATGAAATCAAATTCTTCAAAAGTGACCTCCTGCAGGGACTGGGGATTTAGCTCAGTGGCATAAGCACTTGCCTGGCAAGTGTGAGGTTGTGACTTTGGTCCCCGGTACCAAAAAAAAAAGTGGCCTCCCGGGGACTACACATGATGGTGCATGGCTGTTATCCCAGCGCTCAGGAGGCTAAGGTAGGAGAGTTGCCCCAAGTTTGAGGCCAGCCTGGGCTACATAGTGGACTATATAGCAAGACCTTGTCCCAAAAACCCCAAAAATCAAACAACAACAACCAAAAAAGTGGCCTCCCCAGGCTACTCAGAGGACATTTATTAATAGAGTCAGGAATGAGAATCCCACAGTTGACCCGTGAAACCTCCTAAATGCCTACTTAGGGGCCCACAGGAAAAACACTGCATGGAGGAGCCCGAGTGCCCACAGAGTCCACAGCCGACATGCCCCAGGCTGTCAGCCACACAACCTGGGTCCTGGGCATCATCTTGCGGTCTGAGTCCTATTCTAGGAGCCTTGGCCACATGTGGGCCGTTTAGCACAGAGTGAACCACCTGAGGAAGAGTCCAGCTGCATCATACGAGGAACGTGTGAAACGTGGGGTGCTCATGCTGGAGTGGGGAGGACTTAGCAGTTCTACTGAAATGGGCATTAACATCCTGTTATTAAAAATGGGGAAACTGAGGCTCAGAGAGGCTCCTGACCTGCCCCGGCATCTGCAGCCTGACTGTAGAAGGGGGCTCTCCCCGGTTGAGCCTTTGTCCGTGTGGTTCTGGGGAGCAGCCTTTTGCTAACTCTGTCTAGAAGGGAAAGGCTGCTGTTGGAGGTTGTGAGCTCCTGACTTTGAAAGTGTCCAAGCGAACCTTTAAAATTTTTTATTATTTTGGCAGTATTGGCTGTGAACCCAGGACTGTTAAGCTGAGCTGCATTCCCATCCCTCTGCCCCTTTTTGTTTTTTATTTTAAGACAGGGTCTCACTAAGTTGCTAAGTTAACAATGTAGGCTTAACCTTGGAATCCTTCAGCCTCAGCCTCCCAGAGTGCTGGGGTTACGGGTGTGTGCCACCACACATAGATCCTAGTGAATCCTTACTTTGTTTTATTGTATTTATTTTTCCAACTGAATCTTTAAAGACCACTGGCTGGAGTGTGGGGCAGGGCTGAGGGCATTACGCAGTTACTGGCCCATGTGGTGTCCCTGTCATTTCAGTCATTTGTTCATTTATTTTTTTTCATTCATTTATTTATGAGACTAGGTCTCACTATATACTTTGGACTGGCCTTGAACTCATGATGTATTGCAGGATGACTTTGAACTCATGGAAGTCCTCCTGCCTCAGCCTCCTGAGTGCTGGGATCACAGGTGTGTGCCACCACGCTCTCCAAGCCCTGTCATCTCTCTTGCTGCTCTGCCTCTGGGTGCTGGCCTGACCCGCTGTCTCTTCCACAGCTCCTCATTAAGCTGAAGACTCGGACTTCCACAGAGTACTTCCTGGAGGCCTGTTCTCGAGAGGAGAGGGATGCCTGGGCCTTTGAGATAACGGGAGCTATTCATGCTGGACAGCCAGGGAAGGTCCAGCAGCTCCTCATCCTGAAAAACTCCTTCAAGCTGCCCCCTCACATCAGCCTGCAGTGAGTGCTCGCCCCCCTGCCCGCACCCTGCCTGGCTTGGCCACAGTTGCTCACGTCCCTGTGCCGAGGTGCTCCCCACTTCTGGCCGTCCACACTGTGCTTCAGGGGACAAGCTCTCCTCTGCCTGAGAAGCACCCTGTCTTGCCCTGCACAGTGCAGCCTTCTGGGGCTCTGTAACTTCTACTCACCTCCGTGATGGAGGCAGAAGAGATGCCCTGCTCTTCTGCTGCAGACACATTCTTCAGGACCATGTCACAGCCCCCTAGGACGTGCCACCAACCAGGTCACTGGTCACAAGAAAGATGTGTTATGGCAGCTATTGCCTTCTGCTCAGTGGGGCTCCTCATTTATATACTGAAGAAACTGGCCGTTCAAGGTGGTGCATACTTGTAAGACAAGCACCTGGAAGGCTGATGCAGGAGGATCACAAGTTCAAGGCCAGTCTGAACTACATAGCAAGACCCTGTCTTGAAAAAACCAACACAAACCAAACACAAACCAAACAAACGTGTGGTATGAGTCCATTCCCAGGCTCGGAGAAACACCACACAGGCAGCAGGTTCTGTGGGTGCAGGGAGCTGCTGAGCTATGGGAGGGTTTGGAGGAGCCGCAGGTCAGGGTGGGCGGTGGTGGGCTCAGGGAGAGGCAGCACCAAGCAGCAGCTGGTGGGGTTTGCACAGAGTGGGAGATGGATGGAGGGACCTCTGCGGGCCACCGCACACTTTACAGTCAGGGCCCAGCTCTCGAGTCTTTCTGCGAAAGTAAGCGCAGTGTGAAGTCCCGCACTGCTTACATAGAGGAGCAAGGAGGTGAGGAGACGGCTGAGAACGCTCGCTGCCTCCTGAATTCCTGTGTGTAACTGCGAGCCCCTCTCTCCATGGTCTGGTCACACCCTGCGCCTCTGGCAGTGACTCCCAGGACCCTCCCTGTAGTTGTCAGTGTCATGAGGGCCCCTTTTGTGCCTTCCTCCATGCAGTCACATCATGGAAAAGATGCATGACAGCAGCTGTGGGATCCGGCCGAGCCCCAACATGGAGCAGGGAAGCACCTACAAAAAGACCTTCCTAGGTGAGCCTGCCTGTCTCTGAGACCGAGAGCTGAGAGCCTGAGAGCCCCACCACTGCCTGCTGTGTGTGGGCCTGGCTGTCCGGCGGAGCCAGGTCGAGTTCAGTGAGGTTTTTGACTGTGCACCCCGAACTGCCGGACCAGATATGACGGTGTCACCCTTCTCCTCATGCAGGCTCCTCGCTGGTGGACTGGCTCATCTCCAACACCTTTGCGGCCAACCGTCTGGAGGCGGTGACCCTGGGCTCCATGCTGCTGGGGGAGAACTTCCTCAGGCCAGTTGGGATCCGCAGCATGAGCGCCATCCGCTCCGGGGATCTGGCCACGCAGTTCCTGGATGATGCCACAGCCCTGTACACTTTTGTGAGTTAAGGAGCTGGCTCCTCTTGCTGCCAGAGGGAAGGAAGTGACAGAGTGGGCGTGTAGGTCCACAGCTCTGCAGAGAGGCCTGGGACTAGTGAGTGGTGGTGGGACAGCGTCATCCCAGGGAACTAAAGGGCTTCTGGACTTCAGAGCTCCCTGTGGCCTCCATGGCCTGGGCCTCTACCTTTTCTGTAACCGAGGCCTCACTCCCCTTTCCACAGGCTGAGAGTTACAAGAAGAAGGCGACTCCCAAAGAGGACATCAGTCTGAGCACCATGGAGTTCAGCGGCGTAGTAGTCAAACAGGGCTATCTGTCCAAGCAGGTAGGAGAGGGACAGGTGTCAGCCCTGGGGAGGCGACATTCCTAGGGTGGGCAGGGATGAGCCCAGAGGCGGGAAGAGAGTGCTGAGCACTGCTTGCCAGCAGGACCGTCACCAGCCCCCTTCCCCCAGGCAAAATAACTGCACAGGAGGGTAACTCTGTAAAACATACACTTTGTGATTATCACAGCATTCAAAAGCAGCTTCTGTGTAATTGCCTGTTTCTCCATATTGGCACCTGCCTGCTTCTTGGGTAGTATTTACTGAAAATGCATGTGTTGTTCTGTCTGCTGACAGGAATCCTTTTTTTTGTGGTATTAAAGATTGAACCCAGAGCCGTCACAGAGCCGTACTCCCAGCCCTTTTTAAATTTTATATTCTGAGACAGTCTCAGTAAGTGGCTGAGTTCCCCAGATTGTGTTCAGACTTAGAGTCCTGCCTCGGCCTCCCAGGTGTGCACCACCAACATCGGCTTCTGACCGGAGTCCTGAGTGGGGAGGTCAGAGTCTGGAGGAGCCGTGAAGGGGTGTGAGAGAGACTCTGCGGGTGCTCATGGTGGTCTGTGATCTAGGGTGTCAGGCCAAAGAAAGTCTCTGTGTCTCTGCCTCAGAGGTTAACGTCATATATATGTATTATTATTTCATACAGTGTAATTGATCTTTTTTTTTTTTTGGTTTGAGATAGAGTCTTGCTAGTTGTTCAGCGTGGCTTTGAACTCAAGGCAGTCTTCCTTCTTCAGCTTTCTAAGTGCTGGGATTACAGGCATACACCACCATGCCTAGTGATTTTCTTTCTTTCTTTCTTTCTTTTTTTTTTTTTTTAATGAGACAGAGTCTTGCTATGCAGTTCAGACTGGCTTTGAACTCTCTATGTAGCTCAGACTTGCCTCAAACTCAAGACGATCTTTGTGCCTCAGCCTCCTGAGTGCTGGAATTATAGGCATGCGCCACCACACCTGGTGGCCATTTGTTTTTCTGATGCAGAATGTTACAGTGTTTCCTGCATGTGTGCACACATGGAAAGTCACAGATACACATGCAGCTGTTTTTGAACTAAGTTGACCCTTAAGAAAACTTGTGTCATTGGTAGGAAAATGAATGCATCTTGAGACCAGAATCTTAAGTGAAATAAATCAGACATAAAAGCTTAAATACCACATGGTTTCTCTTATATGAGAAACCCAGATTATAAATTCAGAATAAAATAGAAGATAAGTAATAGGAAGTAGGAAGACAGATGTTTATGTGAAGGAGAGAACTGCGATATGTCTGTGTGCTAACTGCACACAAGGAGTGTAAACATGTCCTACAAACATGTGCTAATAAAAAAAATTAAGTAAAACAACCCTGCCCTCGGTTCAGGTTGGCCCGCAGCCTGCCTGACTTCTGGCGCTGTTGCGAGGTGTCGGGCGCCGCACGGCTTTCCTTTGGCACTGTCAGCTAAAGGCCAGGCCGAAGCTGCTAACGTGCCCTGAGCAGGGGACACCCGGGAGCCGGCACCGGTGCAGCTTGGGCATCTGGCACCAGACAGTCTTTACAGTGTAGTGCTTTAAAGAGCAGCAGGTTGTTTGGTTACTAGGGAGACACCCGAAGTGGGGCCGCAGTGAGCCTTAAACCCCTTCTTTCTCCAGGGCCACAAGAGGAAGAACTGGAAGGTGCGCCGCTTTGTGCTGCGGCAGGAGCCGGCCTTCCTGCATTACTACGACCCCGCCAAAGTGAGTGCGCTGCGGCCGGCCTCCGGACCTCCCCTTGGCCAGCAGCACGGCTCTGCTTCTGTGCCCCAGGCCCTGCCTGCTCTCCACCAGTCACCCCATCCGACGGGCCCCTGCTCGCCCCACTTCTGTGAGCAAGGATCCGGGCCTATTTTTGAAACAGGGTCTCACTATGCATTTCAGGCCAGTGATCTTCCTGCCTCAGCCTCCTGAGTGGTGGGATTACCGCACTGCCTAACATGGGCTGTTTTGAGAGGAAAAGTGTCTTTCACTTTCCCAAGGCTTGCTGGGGGACAGGGCTAGGCGACTCCTGACTGGCACTTCCCGCCACCCCCCCAATCCAAACATCCACAAATTCCTCAATTTCTTGTTCTCGCCCATGTTTTGAAATGCTTCGTTTTATCATATGCTATTTATGATACAAGTTACTAATTTTCTCACTTTTTAATTGATCCAAGCATTACTGTTCCGAGTTTCAGATGAGTAGGGCCTCGCCCTGAGATGCTACAGCTCCAGCCTTTGGTTGTGCTCTCCAGCCTTGTCTTGGTCTTGTCTGATTTCCATCGGGTTTTGATACAGTGAAAGCAGGGCAGTCTGTTCCTCCCAGCCTTTCAGCCTGGAGCCCCTTTGCTCAGCTCTTGCAGGAGCGAGGAGGAGGCCAGGGGGGAAGTGACTGACAGATGCCCTGAGGGTCACCCTGCTGGCGCCTGCAGGAGCACCCATTGACTTTTCCAGGGTCGCTGGCCCAGCTGTGGGGCACAGGTCAGGCTTCCCTTTAGAACTAACGACAAGCACTGAATACAGTAGGCACTTGAGTTTCGCATTTGTCTCTGGTCCTGCCCAGCCTGCACTGTCCTTGGTGAGTCCATGGCCCCAGCCCCGCCCCATCAGAAAAGACATTTTTTTGACTGATTTGCTCCTTGGTGGGCCCTCGGCTTTTTCCTCTGTGGGCTAAGGGTCCGTCCTGTGTCGAGGGGTGGCTTCTCAGAGCCAGTTCAGCCCTCTCCCTGAGGGGGTGGATCTGAGCCCCCACCACTGATGGGTTTCTTCCCTCTGAAGTTTTCCTGGCTTTGAAGAGTGAACATCTCTGGCATTGCTGTTTTTGGTTCTGTTTTCTTTTAGTTTTTTGAGACAGGATCTCACTATATAGTTCAAGCTAGCTTTGAACTCACTGTGTAGCACACTCTGGCCTTGAACTGGCAGCAGTCCTCCTGCCTCAGCTTCCTGAGTGCTGCACCACCACACCTGGCCTAGTATTGCTGTTTATTAGCTTTTTTTTGGTCATACTTCCTGCTGGGTCCACTGAGTATGGCACTGATTATTGCTTAATTGAAGGGCACCCGGGCCAAGGTCCCTGTTATGTAAAACTGCTCTGAATCATCCTGAGGTACCACAAATCACAGTTCTGTTTCCCCTCAAAGTTGGATCTTGATGCTGTCTAGTGTGTAGAAATATCTTACCAGTTTTGAAGAAATAACTATGCATACATGAGTTTTTGTTTTTTCTAATTGGTGGTTAAGATGCAGACAAGGATTTGGGAAGCCATTGTGTGCTTCTCTTAGAGGATCAGATCAGAGGCTCTATTTGAGATGTGTCCAGGAATAAAAAGCAGCTTGATGCTCAGCACCCCCCAGACTTCGCAGTGACAATGTTGGTGACACTGTTGCTATCGGCTGTGAAAGGAAGAGGCTCAAGCTTTTTACTGGAACATGTAATTTGGCCATGCAATTGCAGGTTCAGCCTCATCTATTATTGTAAATCTTTTAAAAATTTTTCTAATGCTGAATTTAGGGCCTGCCACATCTAGGCAGGTGCTCTGCTGCAGAGCTACATGCCCGCCCCATGGATGAGGGGACAGAGTGACTCCCTTTTTGTGTATTCTCTAAACTCCTGTCTTTTTCTCTGCAGGAGGAGAATAGGCCAGTGGGTGGGTTTTCTCTTCGAGGGTCACTCGTGTCTGCTCTGGAGGATAATGGTGTTCCCACAGGTAAGGTACAACTTCAGTGCTGGCCCGATGGACTTTAGGGCCTCTCTTCTGTGCCTCAGTAATGCTACCGAGGAAAGCCTGCCCCATGGGACCAAGCAGGGGCTTTATTCAATAAAACAATGAATGGCATGGTTTTGGTGGCCCGGGGGTTGAACCCAGTATCTTTGCATTGACCTACATTCCCTTTTTTGTTTTTTTTGAGACAGTATTTTGCTGTGGAGTTCAGACTGGCCTTAAACTCACTGTGTAGTCCATGCTGGTCTTGAACTCATGGTAATACTTCTGCCTCAGCCTCCCAACATGGGCTACCACGTTGGGCTCTCTCAACCCTTTGTAAAGAGGGTCTCACTGAGTTGCACAGTTGGGTTCAAATTTATGATTTTTCTGCCTCAGCCTCACAGAATGTTGGGATTATGGATATGTGGCACCATACCCAGCTATGGTGTGAATTTTGAAGCCAATTTCAAAAATAGAAGAAAGGGTATATAGGATCAAGTAAATAACCTATTTGAGTACTCACTCTGTGCTGATGGCCTGTAAGCTAAGGCTTACAGTGTTTAGGGTATAACAGTTTCTTTTTATTTATTTATTTTTTTGTTTTTAAGACAGGGTCTCGCTGTGCAGTTCAGGCTGGCCTGCTCACTTTTGTAGCCCAGGCTGGTCTTGAACTCGCAACGATCCTCCTGCCTCAGCCTCCCAAGTGCTGAGATTACAGGCGTGAGCCACCACGCCCGGCTAAGGGTATAATAGTTTCTTACCTGTTGCTATACTCATTTCACAGTAGCCAGCCATGGTAAGAGGGTAATATTCTATCTTGAGGATGTGGAAAATGAAGTGTCATGTCAAAGACTAAATTCTGTACCTGCTTTTGACATAAGCACACTGAATTCTCTGCTGGAAATGAAACTAGGTCTATGCCTAGCACAGGGCAGGCAGAAGGGCTGCAAAGATGTCCGGTAAGCGGTGCAGGTCTGGAGGGAGGGAGTAGGAACAGGAGCGAGGAAGGAAAGGAGGACATGCGCACCTGGGAGGATTCCCAACCACAGACATCTCTAAGAACTTCATGGACTGAGTTTTTGCCCTTGTTTCTGTTGACTTGCAGCTGCTTCAATGTGGCTCTTCAATCACATTTTTTTCTTTCTTCTGTTTAGGGGTTAAAGGAAACGTCCAAGGAAATCTCTTCAAAGTGATTACCAAGGATGACACACACTATTATATCCAGGCCAGCAGCAAGGCTGAACGAACAGAGTGGATTGAAGCTATCAAAAAGTTAACATGATACCAGGACTCCTCCTTCCTGTGGCTTGGTGCGGAGGATTTTCTGGAAAATTGGTGTGTAAGACTTGGGCTAAGGATGTCACCAAGTGGTTGACAGCCTGCCTCGCAGGTACAAAGCCTTGAGTTGAATCCCAGCCCTCCCCCCAAAAAGAGAAAGACTTTAAACATTGTACATTTTGCACTGCTTTGGATAAGACTGCTGGCTAATTCCTCGGAGGACACACAACAGCTGTGCTAAGACAGCCATTAGGTGCTGATATGTTAACTTTTGCCCACCAGGATGACCAGCACTGTCCTTGGGTGCCAAAGCCCTCTGTTGGAACACTAACACTGGCTATTTAAGTGAATCGTCTAAAGACATTTCTCTGAAATGTCAATTCTTTATCTCCTTTGGAATTAATAAAATTTGACATTTCTGGCTGATACAATGCTTGTAGTTTGTTTTCAGAGGCTTCCTACCTGTACAGTTCATGTATTATTCAAGTTGGTTGTGGAAATATTTCAGTGATTAGTGTCACTAAGACATTTTTTAAGTGGAGATGCAGACAAAACTTCAGTTGAATGTTCAGAGGGTAATTGTTTTGCTTTGGAAAGCTAACTTGGAAAGGACTCATGAATTCACTTGTAGCAGTTAATCAAGTATCAAAAAAAAAAGGAGTTTTTCTATGAAAAACAGACATTTAGAAAAGACAGCACAGGAGGATCTCTAAAGGACAGTGAGATGTAAAGCAGTTAAATCAAGTTTTGATTTTAAAACGAACACTAATGGAGAAAGGCACCAGGAAACTTCCTTAGTTGGAAGGTGAAAGGAGTGAAAAGTCTGTATCATCCAGTATTTTTGAAAGAAGTTTTTATTACTTTCAAGTTTATACAGTGCTCTGGCACAAGATAGTGCCAGGATTCTTGCCAAGTACAAATTCTTGGACTTTAATAAAATATGTAACTTACAGGTAAGGGGAACAAATACTTCCAAAGTGCTTCAGAAAAATGTGTTAATATCAGTTGGTCTCTACTTTTTTTGTAACTTCTTGCTAAGTAGCCCAGGTTGGCCTGGAACTTGTGACCCTCCTGCCTTCCGAGTACTAGGATTACAGGTGTGTGCCACTGCTCAGCTTGAATTTCCTCCTCTCAACCTTACCTGGATATTTGGATCTCAACTATTAGGAATTCTTAAAATGTTTTTCCTTGTTCCTTTCATTTTAGGAGACTGCCTTTTAAAGCACTATCTTCCTTTTGGCATTTCATCAAGGCTTAATGTTCCTCTAATTTTATTGCCTTTTGAACATTGGCAGGTGCTTATCTGAATGAAACTACATTTGGTTTGATGGCTTCCTGCGTCCAAACTGGCACAACTGTCTCTTTGTATTGAGGTCAGGATTTCTAGGTGTTGGAAAATAGACAATCATCAGCTTTTGAGGCAAATACAGTGAAGTTGGCAAGATGCTAGAACCCCAAAAAATCCCTGTTACTTGTTCTTGGTGTCAAAGTTAGTAGATCATTAACTATGGGAACGATTGGTAATTACCTCTGCTTAGCATGACGCAGTAGTTAGCTGTCCCCGTTGCTCCTGTATTGCTTAAACATTGATGTAAGTATTGGCTTGTTATAAACCAATATAATAAATGGTTTAAATGGCCATATTTTAACATTTTCAGTTAATTTATGCATGGATAAAACTATCAATTTTGTTGTATGAGCTGATAGCCATTTGACCTGGAGAAAAGGCAGATGGGGGAAATATGAAATCGTCAGCAGTTTAAATGAAAAGGCTTTGGTAAGGATTAAGATTTGTTTAGTCATGTCGGTCCTTTTCAAGTCAGGCTCGGTATGCATCTTGTCTCCATTTATCTTGTCCTTAAGTTTAGGTCAATGAGATGTACGTCTGCTTAGGAGTTTATTCTCTTGCTCATGCTATACATGAAGCTGATCTTCTTTCTGGCTGGGCTCTTCTTCAATGGACAATACTGTGGTACCGAGCAGAAGGCCTGCATTGGATCAGAATCACCATGGAGGCCATCAATACTTTCTCTAGTACATCCAGATTCTCTATGGCACATTGGTGGGTACACATGGCTTCCTCTCAGAACGAACCAGCTTCAGTCAGATCACTGGGTTAAAGTTACAGGCTGCTACATAAAGGATCAAACCTACATAAAGGTCATGAACTACCCCTCTCTCCACTAAACTCATTTTCCAGTGTCTTGTTTCCTTGGTCTGCTGCCCAGGCTGGCCTTGCCATGGGCTCATTGCTCTGCCTTCCCAAGTGGCTGGAACTGTAGGCAAAAACCAGCATCCCCAGCTCTAGTACCTTTAATATCGAGTGAAGTCTACTACTGCATTGATTGACTAATGTGGGTTCAATTTAATGTTTTAATAACTCTTCCTAGGGATAATAAAATTTCAAGTATTTTAAGAGATTAAATCTATAAAGATAAGCACACTAAAGTAACTCCAGATTTTCTACACTTCCCAATTAGTACTGGGGACTGAACCCAAAGTACTCGCTCAGTAAGCCACATTACCAGATATTTATTTTGAGACAGGGTCTCACTGAGTTGGTCCAGCTACCCTCAAACTTGTGATCCCCCTGCCTCAGCCTCCTGAGTAGCTAGAATTAAAAGTGCCACAATGCCAAGCATGATTTTCTATACTTGACCATTGTAGTTGTAACATCAAATAATGTGTTACTTGTAAAACTTTGTACACATACTTTTAAAATAACCTGTTCTTGATGAAAATGATAGAAATGTTAAAAATAAATCACTAACTTGGAGAACCAAACACATAGTGGCACCTCAAATACTTTAAGGAAAAAAAAAAAAGCTAGTAGATAATGCTCTTAACTAAATCAAAACAGCTGCATTTTCTTTAAAAGAAAAAAAAAAACCTCTTTACCATCTTGAATTAGACATTCAAGGCAAGCAGCTTAGAATCCCCCAAGGCCCTAATGTGACAAAGTCTCAAAGCAAGGTGTCATCAGTTTCAAATAGGTAAAAGGCACACTACAATGTAATCCTATAATTGGATTTAAGGCTGTCCCCCAGGGTCAATTTCTGTTTTTAAAATATTTTCTATGAACTCTCCTTTTGAAAAAAAAAAGGGTCTGCTGTATAGATTCTTTGACCACCTAATCTTGTTTCTCTATCTAGATTAAAGATAACAGAATTAACACTCAAAATATTTTTAACTGGTGACAAGAAGGAAAAAGCCTACAGTTAAATATCCCAGAAATTTATTTGATGTTTGGTTGAATACATTTTATATAGAAAGACTGAGATTGTTGTTTGCTTTGGGTGCCTCTGGCAAATCTCATGGAGGCACTAACTACAAAGGGTGCCAATCTGAAGACATAAGAAATGGAAATCACAAGCCCAATTTTAGTACTGTTCTTAGCTAAAAGATTTGTATCTAGTGAAATCAAGCCACTCCCTTAAAAAATGCTCAAAGTGTTAGAGCTACTGTGAGAACGGCTGACATCTGGGAGGGCATTTCATGTTCTGGTTTGTGGAACATTTAAATACTTGGAATAAAAAATATTCAGCTTTGAAGTTTTCAATACTGGAAAACTTTCAAGTCTAGAGTTTACAGCCAGGAAGGACCACTTCATGTTCCTCAAATTGGACTGTTTCCCGCAGTTAATCTTCAGCTTTGGCTTCCATTTCTTCAGCATCATCATCACCATCCACTTCTGCGTTTTCTCTCTCCAGCCTCTCCAGCTGCCTTGCGAGCTCAGTCTCATCTGTGTCTGTGACCACTTTGGGCTGTGGAGACACAGGCATAATTTTAAAGTGAAGTAGTTAAACAACCCAAAGACCGTCAAAAAATATATACATCAGGAAAAGAAAAACTTGCATTAGTATTTTAATACTCCATTTATTGAGACATTATTGATTTATACATGTCACTTTTGGCCTCTACAGTTGCAAGATGTGTTCAGAGTGGGGCGATATGCTTCCAGATATTTATTAGGCTGGTGAGTTGCTAAAATGGGTATACATTTTGTGGTGGATTCTGTACAAATCTGATTTCAATACTATCATCATCTAGTATTTTAATTTTACATTCCTCCCCATAGTACTGGGTGCTGGCCTCAGACCCTTCACACTGAGCCAGCACTCCCAGTGTTTTGTTTAACTTTTATTATGATTGTGTCTTTTTTTTTTTTTTTTTTTTTGGTACCAGTAATCAAAACTCAGGACCCTGTGCTTGCTAGGAAGGCACTTGTGCCACTGAGCTATATCTCTGGTCCTGATTTTGTCTTTTTGAGACAAGGTCTCACTATGTAGTTCACTATGTAGACCAGCCTCCTGCTGATCTTCCTGCCTTAGTCTCCCAGGGTGATGGAATTACAGGTGTGTGCCGCCATGTCCTGCTCTAATTCTAACTCATACAGAAATTAATCTGTCAAATTTCTTCACTTTTGAATGTTGATTTATTACTATTAAATATTAAATTCTAATAGAAAAAAAAACAGAAGAAAAAAGGGCTGGGGATTTAGATCAGCAGCACAAGTGACTACCTGGCACAAGTTTATGAGTTCAATCTTTGGCGCACACACACACACAAAAAGAGGAGGAAGAAATTTATGAGTCCAAGCTGGTGTAAGAGAAAGACATTTATACCAAAATGGAACAATACATTTTGTCATCTTTTTAAGCTAAAATCTTTTAAAGCTAAAACTAGGCTAAAGGTAAATGAAATAATCTCTGTGGCTAAAACTGTTAAAACAAAAATAAATTACTACTGTTTTCCAGAGAACAAATCATAGCATAGATATACATGTATGTGTGGGAATTAGGGTTTGTTTGTTCTTGCTGAGATGAGAGGCAAATCATTTTGTTTTTTGAGACAGGGTCTTGCCAAGAAGTTCAACCTGATCTTGAACTCAAGATTTTTCTGCCTCAGCCTCTCGAGTGCTGGAACCACATGCATATGCCAGCATGTCTAGCTAGCTCTTTTATTTCTTTTCTTTTTCTTTTTTTTTTTTTTGTTTGTCTTTTTCCTTTTTATCGGTACCGGGGATCGAACTCACAACTGCCTGCCTGCAAGGCAGGCGCTTATGCCACTGAGCTAAATCCCCAGCCCCTTTATTTCTAATTGTGATCAAACTTTTAAACTTGGCACATTCAACTCCTAACAATAAATTTCTCAGCTGGGCATGGTGGCAGGTGTCTGTAACTCCAGCACTTGGGAGGCTCAGGCACAAGGATTACTGAGTTTAAGGTCAGCCTGGATTACACTGTGAGACCTGTCTCAAAAACCTAAAAAAAAAAAAAAAAAAAATACTAAAAGCAAACGAATTCTTGTTTGTTTTTCTTCCTGGTGGAAAAAACCTACCTACACCATTGGTGATCAGGGGCCTGAAGGTCTCTGACATTCTGTCATTCTATGACAATATATGATTCTGACATTCTATGACATTCTAGTACTAATAATTCTCAATCACCTACATAAACCCCTTTTAGGAACCCTCTCAATCAATCAATCAACCAATATATATTTTTTTTCTTTTTTTGAAATCAGTTCTCCCTATTAGTCAAGGGTGGCTTTGAACTCACTATGTATGTATAGGTTAGCCTCTATAATTTGTAGTAATCCTCTTGCCTCAGCATCCCCAGTGCTAGGATTATAGGCATGTACCACATCTGGCTCAAGAATCATTTTATACTTAGCAAATTTGTAATCTTAAATTTTCTGATGGGGCAGCAGTAGCATGGACTGAACCCAGGGCCTTCTTAAGGGGCAGCTATAAGCCTGCCCTCTTTAAATTTTGAGATAGTGTATCACTAAGTCACTGATTTGCCCACATGCTATGCTTGAAATAGTAATCCTTCTATGATAGGGTTATCGCTGTGCAGTTCAAGCTGGCCTTCAATTCACTTTGTAGCCCACACTGGCCTCAAACTTGCAGTGATCCTCCTGCCTCAGCTTCACAAGCATTGGGATTACAGGAATGTGCCACCATGCCTGGCTCAATTTGCAATCCTTCTGCCTCAGGCTCCCTGGGTACTGAGATTACTGCTGCACCAAACTCTGTTTTAATTTTAACTCTTTAATAAAAGAAATATTTTGCCATACTAGATGCAAGATTATACACCTGTAATTGCAGCACTCAGGAGGCTAAGGCAGAAAGATTTCCAGGAGTTCAAGGCTAGCTTGAAATTCACAGCCAGACCCTGTCACAAACAAAAAAAGGAAGAAGAAAGAAAAAGAAAGTAAGAAAGGAAGAAAGAAAGAAAGATTAAAGAAAGAAAAAGGAAAGAAAGAAAGAAACTTTTCTTTCTAATAATTCTCTTGCCTGAGCCCCTCACAATGCTGTAATTACAGGCATGCAACCCCAACTTGGTTTATCTGGTTTCAAAAGGCAATGATTAGGTATCTTACAAAATAAATCATTTATATACTTTACGCTTTTTTAACAACTTTAAGAACAGAAGATCAGAGAAGGCACTGATCTTACCTCCATTTGAACATTGAAAACACCCCTCTTTTCCTCAATCTTTTCTTTGATAACAGCCATGGCTTGATTAAGAACTGAGAGGCCTTCCGTTCTCTCCAGGGTTGTTGTTGTCATCACATACCGAGGAGGAGCTATTAGATTAATCTAAATGAGAAAGCAAAAATTTGATTACAAATATATCTAGAGAACACAACAATTAGGGTATCAAAATAATAGATAACTGTCTCTAAACTTAAGGAGAGCAATCCTTGTAGGAGATTCTGAGCTAACAGCTATCCCATTTATTTTACAGCTACTACAAGATGCAGATGAAACTGTATGCAAATTGCATGTATGCAGCTGACACCTTACCCCTTTTCATAGTACTGTAAGAATTTTGGGACCTTGGCCCACTTGCAACAGAAATTGCCATCTACTATGACAGCAGCAATAACAAAAAGCTGCCACATGGTCACAAACATTCCCAGAAATATTATCATTTACCACTGCTCAATTAAAAACAACACTTTTTTTATGAAACATGGTTCTATTTTTGTAAAGCTGGTTATCAAACCCAGAGCCTTATATATGCAAGGCAAGTACTCTACCACGGTGTCATACCCCAGTGTAGGCTGACCAGATTTTAAAAAAAGGCTGGGATACAAATGTTCAGTAACCCTGTGTTCAGTCTAGAGCACCAAAAAAAGAGCAAAAAAAATAAAGGTCAGGTGTCAGCTCTTGGGAGGCTGAGGTAGCAGGGCTGCTGTGAGTGAGGACAGCCTAGGTTACACAGCAAGACCCTGTCTAAAACAACAAAAACAACAAACACATACACATTAAACAAAGATCTGAATTGTGCAGGTGGTTGTTTTCCAGCAGGATGAGAGAAAACTGACAAGTTACCTTGATGGGCATGGTCTCTGTTGAGCAATTCAAACCTGCTCTCAGGGCCTCCTTCACTGCATCAATGCCTTCATAGCCATAACAAGCCACTTCAATATCTAAAATGGTAAGAGTTCAAGAGCTGAGGCCAACAAATGCAAGAATATTTAAAGGTTTTAAGACCTAGAGAAGTGGCAGATATACTAGTATTCAAATACTTCTTATAAAAGCTTTTATTGTCCTACTCATTAGAAATCTTACCAACTATTAATTTCATATTTAAATATACCAAATAGCTTTGTAGTAAGCCTCTCTCTCATGTATAATAAGCCACCTAATGATAGAACTAAAAAAGGTAAAAGAAATTTAACATTTTGTCCAGAACTGTTCAGAGCTGCGCAGTTTTTGGCCCAGCAATTGTTTTAGGAGTTTGTCTTGATGTAGGTGAGCGTGTATATGTAAAGGTGCTAATTCGTACTATATTTCTGTAACCATTAGAAAAATGTGTAGTTATTCATGCAGCAACATATTCTTTGGCAAGTCTTGTTACTTAACAATTTTTGTGGTACATACAAAATATTTTGAAAAATCATTTA